TAATGACAGCGTGCATTATTACAGAGTGAACATATGAACATATTGTTTCAGATAGAAATTGTGATTTTGGTGGGGAGAGGTTAAGTAGAACTCAGCGATGTGATTTTGGAGACGAGTCAGGTTTTTTTTTCGTGAAAACAGGGGATGGTTGTGGGAGAAAGACCAGCTGTAGAAGTATGAAGCGTCATTCATTGGTGATCCATTTTCTCAGTGGGGACGATAGAACTATTAAGAAGGGTCAAGAAATGTAAAAAGCTTGCCGAGTCGCATTTCTTGAACCCCACCTTTTTCATTCCCCCACTTAGCACATCGTCACCGAGTTAACGCTCGCACGTGACGTCACGTAGCGGTACCGCCGACCGTTAGGCTAATTTTATAGAAAAAAAAAACAACAAGCACTGCCTTTTTGACGCTTTTGCGACGTTTAATTTGATTACATAAGTTGGTGTTCATTAAACAGCCCCTAACACATCTATCACTCGTCCATTTAAACGTACGTAGTTATTTCTGCAAGCTTGCTGTTTTGAGACTTTCGGCCCTTTAAACATGTATTAAGCTCACACCGTATAGAACTAGACTACCCGTATTAAGCTCCAAAAGAAGCTTGGTAAAAACAGGATGGCCGTCCGATTTTGAAGCTACTCTGCGCTTTATAAAAAGCACAATAAACGATAAGATGACACTTATATTAAAGTAAATTATAGTTCTGAATCTTGATACATAAAAAGTGATATTCGGAAATTAAGAGCCAGGCAGTCAACATGATATTTCAATTTGTCCAAGAAAATAAATTTCCTCAAACGATGGGGCATTACTAAATTTTCGCGCAGTTTAGCGAAATTGAATTTAAGTATTTACGTCATCTTACAAAGCGCGATAGCCTGCCTACTGGTCCTTTAACGCGGCCCATGCTAATGGCCGTATTCCTAACGCCCCGCATTAGACGCGGCTTATTCGTCGGCAGGGATTCGGTGGCAGCCTTTTTGACGGGGATAATGTGTTGAGGCCATTTTGCCAAATGTCTTAAACTAGCAGGCTTGCAACATTTGTGATGATTCGTTTTAAGCAAGGTATACGTATACTAATGCTTATTTATCGTTATTTTGATTGAACAAAGCATTATAGAGGTTCTCCATCAACCACCTAGGTATTTTCCCCCGTTCACCTCCTTTCATGAGACCGATACGTCATAAATTGCGGAGCCGCCTGAGTTGTTGTCGCAAATCTTCACTCACTCCCGTAGCAAATCATATGTGACATCATTTATGGACAACCCCATATCACTCACTTGGGTACTTGATATTGACAATTTGACAACAAAGGATAACCAAAATGTGTCTGGCAGGTGGAGACTTGCGATCGACCATAATGACAACACGCACTTTTTTAGATGATGTTTTACGAGGGAAGCTGGTGGATAATACATTTTGTCTCCCTGTATATATAATGATGACAAACATTTTTTGTTGTCAGAATTATGGTTAGAGATCTTAGATAAGGCAGAGTGAAGCGTAATTTTTTACATTATGACTTGTTGTGACATTGACAAGAAAAATATGACCAGAGCCGGCGTTAGGGGTACGCGGGGCCTATGGCCAACCATCCGCGCGGGGACTTATATTTTTTTCATTGGTGTATAATTAAATAAAACATGTACAGTGAGGCCTTTTTTTCTTCTCAACGCGAATTAATATTTATAACGATATATATGGTATTTTTAAGCTGTTTATCAATGTCGTATTAACATTAAGACACTGATTAACAAATAATTTGTTTACTTAGAAGTGCTTTTGAAACGTTGCTTGTTTCTGTTAAGGCTTTTAGTTTGAAAAGTAAAAAATAAAACAGATATAAATTTGAGACACGCATTAAAGTGACGATGAACGTCAGCTTCAAACCTGATTTTTTTACATTAATGTTTATTTATGAAAATCTTACCAGTACGTTCACAAACGAAGATCTACTTTTCTTGCCTTTCGTGAGGAAAATTCCACGATTATATCATCATAGTCCAAACTGGAGACTATGCCTTTTTCTATTTACAGAATTGACAGGCCGCAGAGCCTGTCTTGGGACATCGTTGATCTCAAATAGTTCTTGATTAATTTCAGTTTGGAGAAACTTCTTTCGGCGCTTGCCACTGTGACTGGAACTGTTAGCAAGATTTTGTAGGCGATCGCCTTATTGGGAAATGAATCCCCGAATACTCCAAATGTACTGAAGGTACTGTTTGGCTGACTTAATACCTTCGGGCAAAATTTCTCGAAACATTGTGAGCTCTGTACACAAATCTGCCTCGTTTAAGTCACGTGAGCTCACCGATCGCAACGCTATATCAAGATTCATGCAACTTTTTAACAAATCCTCATTATTTAATTTTCTCATTGTGTTTATGTTGTAGGGAAACCCAAAGAGTGAATCGTATTGTCGTAGCTGTTCAAATCGAGTGTTCATGCCAATAATTGCTTGATCCATTATACACAAGAAATACTCTGTTCTAAACTCATCTTCACCCGATAACGTGCTTTCATCTGGTACTCTCAACAGTGGCATTCAAAGTGTGTGGATGCCGGGGAAAATAGCAAAACATTCATAGATTTCGGAATAAGCTCGAATCGTGAAAACACTGTTTACGGCTATAGATATCCAAATGAAATGACTCACAAATGTAATCACGAACGCTCAGTAGGGTGGAACACTTGGGTGGGTGGCAGTTGCTGGGGTGAAGGATAACTGTGCATTTAAATCTATGGGATGCCAAACCCTAAAAAAAATCAGTTCGGGTACTACCTTACTGGATCTCTGACCGCAGCCATTCAAGAGAAGGTGCGTGTTTATAGAGCGTCCGCGTATTACATTACAGATTAAGACCGCGTTCTCACAAGAGAAGGTCCGTGTCTATAATTAGAAAGTTAACCATGTGACAGACAGCTTCATGTTATTTATGACTTTCGCGATGGCATGCTCGGACTGCCGGTAATTTAGACGTTTTAGAAATCAGGAGAACTTTACCATAAAACGGTCTTGGCCCGATTTATCAAACAGTATAGACTTTATAATTTGTTTAGTGTGCCTACACTATTTTAAAACAAGAATCACTATGGCCTTAACTATTATACTGAATATTCCTACACAGAGGCGTAGCGAGGGGGGTCGGGGGTGCGGATCGCACCGGGTGACACCATTTAGGGTGGTGACACCAAGGCAAAAAATAGCAAAATATATAGAGAAAAACTTGAGGGGGTGTAAATCGAAAGTTTGAGGTAGGGGGGGGGGGGTGCAAATCGAAAGTTTGAGGAGGGGGGGGGGGGTGCAAATCGAAAGTTTGAAAGTTTTTTTTCCCGGGAAGGGTCGCTACGCCTCTGGGGGGGGGGGGGTCGACACCATTAAGTGCCGCACATGGTGACACCCGACCTCGCTATGCTACTGTCCCTACAATTAATTAAAATAAACATGTGCTTAATCACTTTACGAATACCGTTAAAGTTTACCAAAATGAAAATGGACATAATTACTGTATAAATGCCCTTCAAAAATCTAAAAATAAATACAAGTATAATGTATTTAAAGATGACCTGACAATATATAAAATAAACATGAACATAATTACTGTATGGATGCCTATCAAACGTATCAAGGTGAATATGCATAATTACACAAAAGATGCCCATACAGTGTATAAATTATGATTTTAGGGATAAATGCTCTGGATTTCCGGGGCATGTCCCCATCCGCTCTCCCCCCCCTCCTCCTCTGCAAGCCATCATCAGGTCACTGACTGTTTACTACAGGCACCCCCGCCTGCTCACTAAAAAAAAAACGTCTTCAACGGTCCGCAAACAATAGGGTATCTTTTTACCTTTTTCCCGATTTTACCTCCCATGTCAGGTCGGGGGCTAATTCGCGACCGCCATCTCCAGTCACCTCAGGACAATAGCGAGTCGACAGTGCCAGCGATGTGTGACACTAATGTCTTTCTTTAGTCCCAGTCCATGTAAAGGATAACTCACTAACATCAGCCTTGGTCTCAGTTTTAACATCCAACAATTTCGGCCATTTAGTTGGGTTTTTTTTTTAATTTAATTCAGCAAAGATTATTTAAGTTTACAAACTAATTCAGGCAACAATGGCGTTGCTGAAGCGCGGGGCCCCTTCAAGCGCGGGGCCTGGGGCGACCGCCCCGTTTGCCACCCCCTAACGCCGGCTCTGAATATGACGGAGGTTGGGGTTTAATGTCATAAGTTACGATAGAATCACTAATTGATGAAAAGAAAAGCCTGAAATGAAAATAGTGAACATTCAAACAATAAGAAATAACTCAAACTATATAATATAGATCTAGTATTAGTAAGATCAAATAAACATTAGTAAAAAAAAAACGTGATTTAATACATGGATACAAGTTGTTGCATCTCACAATGCTTCTAGAATTAATAAAGTTGTTTGTTAGGAAATTCAGCTTTTAAAGAGCAGAATTAAAAAAAAAATTCGTTGTAAAAAGGACTATACAACAAGCCAATCATATTTATTATTTAAACACAGTTTCATACGAATAGAAATGAAACGCAAGCTACTCTAAATAACATTTTCTTAAGATGGCTGCTGTTTTTAATAGCACATTTACTATCTCGAACAGGGTTGATAAAAATTAATTTCAGGATATTTAAATTGATTTAACCATAAGTGGTGATCTATTATTCAATTATTTATAATATTTTATCAAAATATACAAAAATATACTCATATTTATTTAATGACATATTCATTAATTCACTCTCTCCTACATTACTAGTTTTGGCCGAATTTACGACGCTAAACTAAGATTTTACCAAACTTTTTATAATAGAACAGAATCTCGAAAAAAAAAAAAGAATTGCACACCAAGTGAACGTAAAAAAAAATTTGCACAATAGTGTGGGATATTTTTAGTACTTTATAAATTCACATGCGTTGTTTGGAAATAGAATCTAGTGTAAATGACTACTTCCGGTCGACGGAAATTACTCAAAATTTGATAGAAGGCAGAAAATTAGAACTTTTACTTACATGTGTCTGTGAAATTTCATTTATCTATCTGAAATAGTACTCAAGTTATAGATCTAGATCTAGAAAAAGTTCCTATTTCGTTTATCGGAAATCGGCCAAAAGTTGATAGATCTACGGATCTACGATTTTGAATTACTTAGAGTAGTCTAGATCTAGATCTAGATTAGGGAGGCTCACTAACTTAAAAGCGTCCTTGGTTGCTAACCAGAACATGGCGTAAGGATCGGACCATGACTTCCGGCGAGTTTTTCGACTTAGTTCCAGAGACCTTCTTAGAATTACTTTTAAAAATGTTTATCACGAGTAAAATGGCGGGTTTTCACGTTATAAAAACATGCTATAGGTGGCAAGGCTAAATATGCCAGAAAAGCATTTTCAAAAATTGCTTTGGGGGATGTTGGCTAAATTTAAAGTCGGTGTCATTCAAAATAATATAACTTTTTAAATATAGATTTCCATATCACAAAATTGATTTCCACAGTAAAGCATTATTAGTTTTATCATTCTATGAAAAAATAAATCAAATATCTTCAACCGTTTTTTTATAAGATCGACCGAGAAATGACAACCAAATTTTTTTTATTTTTTTTGACCACGTGACCGCTATTTGAATGGATACGTTTACCTGGCATGGTTTTTTTTTTTGCTCTTTTGTACAATAAAAAATGTCATAAAATTAAAGAAATAAAAGAATTCAAAAATCACTTCTGTCTTGTCTTTTTTTTAATTCTTTTCTGATGACATTCTCTTAAATTTTTTTCCTCTAAAAATATTACCCGACGATAGACGGGCCAATTCTACTTTTAGGAACTCTCTTGTGAAAAAAAATTAGATCTATTTCACGGTCACTTAAAAAGTTAAACCTTTCAACTTTTAACCAGGTTGTCATGGATGATCCGTCATATCATAGCTGTGAGTGACAAATAAATTTAAAATTCAATAATTTAGTCTAAACTCGCTACAACCCCCAAATTTAGTGCCTAGAGGATAAAGTATGGACGTTTTTTATTCAGTTGTCATGTTTAAATTGAGAATTAAGTAGATTTCACAAATAGTAAGAAAAACTAATCTAGATCTATATGAAATTTCATCAACCTAGCTGTAACGGTACTTATTCTTAAGTTACATGGTAATTTTTAAATTATTTGAATTTATTAGGCCTACTACTGATTAGATCTAAATCTAGATCTAAATCTAATCTAGATTAGTAAATTAGTTACCTGATTAGTAGATAGGTCTAGATTCTAGATCTAGGTACGTACTAGATCTAGAATCTAGATCTATAGTCTATATCAGTCAATATCAGTATATCTAGATCTAAATCTAGATCTGATCTAAATCTAGATCTACGTAAATTCGCCCTCGTCTAGATTTCTAGAATCTAGATCTAGAATCTAGTAATGTGAAAAACAGGTGACTCATTACATTTTAATACTATTAATAGGCCTAATTATTTCACATTTTTAGGATTTATCCAATTTATGTTTTGAAATTTACAAAAATGTTTCAAAGTTTCATTTATGTAGATAGATCTAGAGTAACTTTACCAGCCCCGGACACCCTTAGCCTGAAACTGAGACTCCTTTCCGGTTCGAGACACCTAATTTCATTACTATTTGACATAGAATGAAAACCAAAGCATAGAAATACTCTCCATCCAAAGAAGAATAAAAATATGTATTCCCTTTTTTTCCATTCGCAATATAACTTTTAAATATATGCCCCCGAAACAGACGACCCAGTCGTCCTGGACCCGACTAAAATTTTCCCAGTTTTGCCTCCAAACGACTGGTCTTTCCTCCATCCGACTAAGTCATATTTTGCTGTTTTTTTCAGCTCAGTTGAATAAATAATCTTGTACTATTAATATTTTAAGTGTTTAGTTTTGTGTTTCAGTGTGTATTTGATTTTAAATGCCAAAAATAATATAATTTATAACAATGGGAAAAAAATAGTAGGGGAGAGAACTCTTCCCAATAAAATGCTTGTGTTATGGTTTACTATGGGTATCGTTTCCAGGGAAAACACGTAAATTTTCATCCTCCTTACGACTACCCCCAAAAAAATGTATTTAGTAAAGAAAATAGCATTTTCTATAAATATATATGTTCTGTAGCCTATCCCATTCAATTTCAGTTCATTTTTTCTGAAAAAAAATAAACATTGTTTTAAAAAGACGCTAAGTCGGGAGGAGGCTTTGCTTGTCCCGGCAACATAAAAATGGCCGCCTACATGACGGGTTGCTTTTAATTGCTCATATCCCACTGTGGGTAATTCAATGGATTAAAGTTTGATATAAATGGACATATTTGCTACCAATTATAATGTTTCTGTATAAAACATTCAAATAACAGTGCAATTAGTTTTCAAAGTGAGAGTTACGGAGTTGTTCGTTTCTGTAATAGATTATGAATACAACGGAGACAGAAGCCATTAGCATGTAGTCATCTTTATTTGTTAATCGGAAGCGAGAGAGGGCGGAAGAGGAAGAACAATATTATAAATATAACTAATACAAGAAGAGTGAGTTCCCTTGACCTCACAATTATCTCACTATATTACATCCCTTTACCCTTAGTAAACACAACACATCTCTCAATAGAACAATTTACAGTATCCTAAAATCACCAAGTATATTGTAACATGAACATTATGGTAGATTACATCCTTACAAACAATGCACAATATGTTACAACATAATTAAAATACAAAACAATGATGTCAAAGTCCTTTTGACCCTTAAAATCATAGGTCTAACTTATTTGGGACTTTGATTGTCCTGCTTGACCTTCTCAGTGGCTTTTGATTTGGTGACTCAAGATTCTGACCATCTGGATTCTCTATCTCAGGAAATCTAGGATCTAAATCATTAATTCCAGAATTTACATTTTCTGACTCTAGACCACTTGGTTCACTCATATCAATAGAACTTGGTTGTGGAACAAACTGAGTTGGTGTGAACTGGTCAGATTTGGTGGGATTGACAGATTCACACTTATTATCTGCACAAGTTATTTTTAACTGGTCTGCATGTCTACGGACAATAAGTCTATCATTTGTTTTTACTTTATAAGACACAGGTCCTGTACATTGAACAATTTGACCTGGCATCCATTTTTCCCTTCTCCCATAATTTCTTAGATACACATTATCATTAAATCCAAATTCTTTTTCAATGGATGTTTGTCATGATTTAATGGAACTATTTTTGAATTGGCATCTGAAAATATTTATTCTGCTATTATTCAGATCCTTAACTGACATAGATTTCTTTGATTGATCAATTTCCTCAGGTAATCTGATAGTGCTTTTTGATAACCAAAAATACTGTTTAAAAGTACTATCCTGGACCATATCAATTTGCAACTGTGATCCAGTATTTGAAGTGGTGTATTAAATGGCAAAAATCTTTTTTCTTTTGATGTTACCCTTTTAGTTTCTGTAAGTGCTAATGATGTTAGCAAAGTTGTTTGATGATCACATTCCTTCTTACTAATGTATTCTCTTTTAAAGCATTTGAAATTGCCATATCACCATAATCATTTATTAAGTTATAAATACTTTGTTTGGGTAACTCTGACTGATAATGGACTGCATCTTCTCCATCTTTTAGACTTAATTCCATTTTTCTTATTTTATATGGCCTTAAGTCATCATTCACTGACTCTTTAGGCCAACCATTCTTACAGTACTCATATACTTTTATTAAGCACTCATCTTTTTGTGTTTCTCTTTTTACATCATTCACATTTATATTGGAGTTATCCATGATAGTGAAAAGAACAAATACATCTTCTGGTACATAACTAAGGCTTTGGTTTTTTAAAGGTAATCTACTAAGACTATCTGCACTATTCTCAGATCCAGGTTTGTGTTTCAATTCATAATTGTATGCTGTTAGTGTGATAGCCCATCTTTGAATTCTTGGTGAGGCATGCTCAGGTAGGGGTTTGTTTTCTCCAAATAAACCTAGCAATGGTTTATGATCTGTAAAGATGGTGAACTTCCTACCAAACAGAAACTTATGAAATTTCTTAACACCAAAAATGATGCCTAAGCCTTCCCTATCTAACTGAGAATAATTTTTCTCAGGTTGAGGTCTGATGCCTTGCTTGCTTAAAATATAACCAAGAAAACTAATTTCTGTCAGCATGAATTGACATTTATCTTTGTTTATCTTTAAACCTTTTTCACCAACTATTTTCAAGACTTTATCAAGTGTTTTAAGATGTTCAGTGTCATTCTTACCAGTTATGTACACATTGTCAAAGTAAACACAAACATTTGGAATGTCCTTAAAAATACTGTCCATGACAGTTTGGAAAATTCCAGGGCTAGATGATATACCAAAACACAATCTTTCATATTGGTAGAGTCCTTTATGTGTGTTTATTGTCGTATAGACTTTTGAATCTGGATGCAGTTCTAGTTGAGTGTAAGCATGACTAAAGTCTAATTCAGTGAATTTGTCTCCTCCTGCCAAATTCAAAGAAATTTCCTCAATGTTAGGAATAGGATACCTATTTAGCTCTATTTGCTTATTCAGTGTAGCTTTATAGTCTCCACAAATTCTTACAGAACCGTCCTTCTTTAACACTGGAACAATGGGCGTTGCCCAATCGGAATAGTCTACCTTCTTTATGATGCCATTAGATTCCAATCTACTTAGCTCATTTTCAATTTTATTCCTCATTGCATAAGGTGGAACTCTAGCTTTGCAGTATCTTGGATTTGTGTCTTTAATGCTTATCTTCACTGTTCTATCATTTAGTAATCCTGGATTACTAAAAACACATTTATTTTCAGATATAACTTTATCTATTGAAGTAAGACTAGATTCTCTTGCATTGATCAATGAACATATACTCTCCCAATTTAACTTAAGATCAACTAACCAGTTCCTACCTAGTAATGGTGGTCCATTTCCTTCAACCACAAGTAGAGGAAGTTTAACACTTTGACCATTATGACTTACATGAACCATACACTCTCCTATCACCGGAA